ATATGTAAAAATCCTTACAGACGGACAAAGCATAAGAGTCGCACATATATATAGGCATGGATATGTGCATAGGCACCGAAATAGATTAACAGATAGATAAAGGGTGTGAATAAGGGTGAGAGAGGAAGGCATAGACGGAAGCCAGGCCAAGCACTTGTGTAGACATTGTCATAAGATGATTAGGATAGAACACAAATTAACGAGTTTCACATGCCCATCTGCATTCATAATTCGCCCACTGGCCATCCATAAATATGCTCCCAGATCCATAAGCGTTTTTTCTGACTGAGGCTATCAGATGTCGATATAAGAGCCAAAGACAAGTCCGTGCAGATTGCAGCCCCGGTATCAAGTTGTGTGGTGTGTTCAGCCCTTGCTCCCACCCTTCTCTTACCGAGAAGGTTGTCAAATGACCAAATCTCTTTGTTGTCGATATGCGTGCCCGTCTACCTATACGGACTCAGACGACTGGAATTATTAATTAAGGGCTAGGCTGGCATCGAAAACTCGCTCAAACAGCATTTTGCCTAACCCGTCAGTTCCTCATGATCCATACAACTCGCCCTCCACCAGCCTGTGATATTTACGAGTACCATCACTGGATTCTTTTTCTCCGATTTTACACTCAGGCAGACTTTCTGCAGTGTCGGATGAAAAGACATGAAGCAACCTCGGTATGCACATACCAGAATGGCGACCCCTCTCTCGCTCTGCCCCCTTCCACATCAGTCACCAGCCTAATCCGGTCCTCTATTCCAAGCAAACTCGGAGATGTGTTGTCCTGCTGTTGTCGTGACTCGACTGGGAAGACCAAATGATACACTTGCGGACAAGTCCAATCACATAATGACATTGAAACCGAATGAGTACTCTTAACTACTGGAGTCAGTACTAATCTGCCAGCAAACTTACCCGCATACTCCCATATACCTCTGTCCATGTTTATCTGTCTGTGTGTTTGCCTGTGGTTGTCCTATCAATCCACTTGTCTGTATACCTGCATTTAATTATTTAGCACTTCATTTATTTATGTTTCAGCTTTTCTACAAACACGTCGATAGTTAGGAAACGTGACCAGGGTCAAGAAGTGTGTTTGTGTGTATTTTTTATGTGAAAGCGACGTGCGGCCTGGCCTTTTCAATTATTCAACCCGCGGTCAACTCAATCCCATTTTCTGGCCCCCCCAGTATGTTAGCCGTCCCAATCTCTCTCCTCTCGACCAGGATACACTTGAGAGGTGTCATAGTCAAGGAAGAGCCGACAACTTGTTGTGAGCTGTCTTCCCCACACTTGCTTGGAACGGCGGGATGGCTTTTTGACAACTCATTAGGGTCAGAAAGGCTAGTTAACCACAAGTCAACTCAACAAGTTTTGCAAATAATCCTTTCCCATCTGATCGTCTGCTTTCCTCCTCCAATTAGCTACGCGTTCCTGTTTGCCCCACCAGGAAGGGTTAAAGTACACCCATTTTTGCCTACTTGTGTGTGGACAGGGCTTCAAGCTGGAGCGCGTTTGCTCGTTCTTCATATTGCCGCTTCCGTAGGGGATGCCTTTTATCGCCAAGGCGCTTTATATGATTGAGGGAAGAAGTTGTTGCCAACCTCCAAAAGTGTGCAGAAAATCATGCTATGACCAGCGTTATGCTTATTTGGACGTTAAGAAACAGCATGTGCGGCACGAAGATGGACGGTGTGGAAAGTAAATGCGCACTCTCACTCTATCACATTGTCCCACCTCCCAGTATGCCCTAAGCAAGCAAATGGCTAACTAGAAAGAAAAGCTGGTTTTTGAGGGTTCCTCTATGATTTAACGTCAGAGAAGGATTCATTTCGCTTGTAAAGATCCAACGAAATATAACAAGTACCTACTAAATGCCAGTGAATAAATGACTATGAAGGCTTGTCTACATGTCAAGGCGTAGCAACATTCAAGCATCGTAATAATAAATCGAAAGACCTAATTTGTGGCCATGTATTTATGAGAGCTTTTAGTTCCCCCTGGTGACAGGACTCTCGAGAAGTCCAATTTTTTCCCTAAATGCTTATATTTGAACTTCACAGTCTTGCTCCTCTTCTGGACCTGGATCTAAGCAACGTGTGACGCGTGATTTTTTATCTTTGAAAAGGAACGGTCTGAGGAACTATCCGACAAATTTATTCCTACTGGAGATATGATGAATTCCTTATTTGCCTAATTTTGATATTCCTTTAATAATCCGACATTTCCTAGATAGCGGTGATTCTAGGGAAAATGCCAGGAGCTACATGTGCCTGATGAGCAAGTTGCGAAAACCAAGTCGAACTAACACTATAAAGTTTGCTAATTGGGTCCAGCAACAAAGCCCAACATCTGGTCATTCTCTAAAGGCATTCTGGCAAAGAGTAGAACCTAGGGTTCAAATATTATTTTTGAGTGGGAGTTAGAGGTTATCAGTACATCGTGAATCTCCTATAGGATTCAAAGTTTCAGTTAAGTGTCCTTGTCCTGCTCTGACCTCGATTTCTTTCCTCTTGTAAGTTAAAGTTCACAGAAAAGCCGGAAGAACTTGATGCTATATGTTGTCACTTTGCCTTCTATATGGGGGAAATGGTCATGCATTGTCTGTTATGCGTACTTATCTTCATCCTTTTGTCGTAATGGTTGTTAACCTACACACTCATATATCCTAATTGTGCCTAATTTGCATGGTTCTTCATAGAAGGATTCCTTTCTCTGGTTTGACTGGATAATTGGCATTATTTTATATTATTTAAAATTTGGCCGTCTGCCTATTTCAAATTTCATCAATGAAATAGGCCTATGAATGAAGTGGAAAATACTAAATTTCAAACTTGAATTAATTCCATAAATATGTAGAGGGCCCGCGAAGCAGGATAGAGTTTAACTTCAACAGACCGAAGAATAGGGACTATTCTCGAATTAGTTATATAAATAGCAGATTCACACTATTCCACCTGTATCTTCAGTCAAGATCCACAATTTTTATAGTGCTATATGGACTGATATCTAGTATGCCTTTGATAAATTAAAAGAATAGCTCATTTTGCTCTGAAACTCACCGTGTCATGCAACCCAAAATACCTTATCCAGGCTCAACTGCCGTTTCGAATTTGGCTAAGTCACCTCAGTCTTTGAAAAGGTGGATCATTGGAACCATCAGTTATGCCTCCTATTTGAGAATATGATGACCCTCTTTAAAGATCTGCGTCTAGGCCTGAGAAATCTGTCGCATAAGAGAAGTAAATCACCTGCAAAACTTTATGGCTGAATACTTGACTAATACAGAACAAAGGATAGAGTGTTTTATGATTATCGTTCTGTTGGATATGAGGACTGTTAAGATACGCTCAAGATATGCTAGTCAAAATGAATTAACAAATGACCGATATAAATACCAATATTGGGAGAGTTAATGGGAAATATTTCTGGTTCTATAAATAGGTATACTTCGAGATTGTTGGTATCTCTA